GAGAGAGAGAGAGAGAGAGAGAGAGAGAGAGAGAGAGAGAGAGAGAGAGAGAGAGAGAGAGATGAGAAGCGGGATAGTGTCGCGGGATAACGGGAAAGCGGGATAGTGGGAGAGCGGGAAAGTGGGATAGCGGGAAAGCGGGATAGCAGGACAAGGGGACAGCAGGAGAGCGGGAGAGAGAGAGAGAGAGAGAGAGAGAGAGAGAGAGAGAGAGAGAGAGAGAGAGAGAGAGAGAGAGAGAGAGATGGGAATCAGGATAGTGGCGCGGGATAACGGGAAAGCGGGATAAAACACACTAACAGTCAAATGACTCGAATCAGTAGCGGGCGGCATAACACAGCACAGCAACCCAAAACACTCCCAAACCAGAAAAGAAGGAACAAATCTGTGCACTACTACAGTATCCAATACTAGTAGTACACTTACTAAGAAACAAAATAGAAGAAATAATATTACATACGTCTCATTAGAGAATCCTGTTGATTTCTAAAATATTACATACATCTCATTAGAGAGTCCTGTTGATTTCTGGAATATTACATACGTCTCATTAGAGAATAATATAGAGTCATAAACGCGAAACTTCGGAGAAAGTAATAAAATAAAGATATTATCAGAGCTCAACCTCATAACCTGTAACTGAACACTTGCACCTGTACACGATTCTGCCAAATGTGCTGGTACACAACTCTCGAAATTAATAATTCCAATTCACAGATTATCTTTTTTTTTTCATAACAATTCACAGATTATCTAGCAATGCAAGCATGGAAATTAAACCACCAGTGCTCCCAGATATTTTGTCCGAATGAGGGGGTTAACCCTCCGCAGAATAGTGGCTCAGGCCTACCAAACGGAAAAGGCTAGTGCCGCCTGGCTTGCCATGCCGGCGCGGCAAGCATTGGCGTGGCAAAATCTGCATCAGGAAAAAGGACCTCAGACGTTTCTGCACTGCCAGATAAATTGGGGTAATGCATCACGCATTGTCAACCACAGACACCAACTGCCCTACGGTCTTTACCCGAATAGAACGCCCGGTCATTATAGCTGCATTTGGCCCAACTGTCAGTCCAGATGCAGCGATAATGACCGGGCGTTCTATTCGGGTGAAGACGATAGCTCAGTTGGTAAACCCATGAAGAGTTCAAATTAGTCAGATGAGTGAGAATAACTCTGAATCAACCTGGCGCCGATCAGCCCAACGATGATATCAGAAGGCCAATATATTTACATATTAAAAAAAAAAAGATCAACCATGGAAATCAACAAGAACTTCCAAACTGTAGCGACCACTACCGTCCTCCCCAAAACACAACACACCTTCAGCGTCATGACGGTATCCCACTAGACAGATAGCTTGATTACATTCATGATTAGGGGGTGCGAAAATATAGAAGCATACGACTGAAATGAACCATAAAAATTGGCGGAAACGGAAAAACGAAATGGAAGATGAAGGACATCGAACAGAACCAATGCCACTGTACCTCCATCTTGGTCTTTGGAATCTGAGTTTCTAGTAACATCAACGCTTTCTCAGCTCTGCTTGCAGTTGCTGTAATCTCGGCGATTCGTGCTCGAAGTGCTGTCAATTGCGCAACAAGTGCATCGAGCTCCCTTTCTGCTGTCGAAAGAGCTTCTCGGGACACACCACCATCCCTTACAGCCGTACCCATTTTCCCACCCCTAGGCCTTCCACCTCCACCAGACATTGTTCCACTGCTCTCAAACAACTGACCATCCAGCGTCACGACTCGACGGAACCTTCTGTCAGCTCCATAGGCAATCCTCGTTCCCTGTGAAAACAATTCAAATTTGTCAGTGTCGAATTATCAATGTAAATTATGCAATACAGAATTTCTAGTCACATCAATGCCTTCTCAGCACTGCTTGAAGTTTGTTTAACTTGTGCTACACGTGCTCGCTGGACACGCGCATCGAGCTCCCTTTCTGAGCTGAAAGAGCGTCTCAGAACACACCGTTGTCCCTTATGGCTACTACAGAGCGCTGACTACTCCCCTGGCAGTGGGAATTAACTCAGATTCCAGCATGTGAACAGTACTTGATCTAAAGAAAAAAATAGAGCTCAAAGCATGCTGCAATCAGACTCGCTTTCTTTTCCACTCTGCATACATGCAAACAGATGGTGATTCACACTGGCGCACAGCGCCCACTCAAAGCTCAGAGATATGGCAATCGAGAACACAGTTCAGATGTAAACTCGCTTCAACAAGCTACGGCGCATCAGCACCTGCACAACCCGACTCTCATCACTGTGTTCAATACCACTGTTTGCCCGCACTCAACTCTGGATCGCCCTGAATACTCCCACACACACTCACTCGATATCCCACACACGCACACACAGCTACCTCGACCCTCGGCGGCTATGGCCGCTCGGCTCTGCCGCTATGGCTACAATCTCGCACTTCAGCCCACTTCGTCTTCAGGCAACCTGCAGACCACCTTTGCACAAGTCGCTGTAGCAGCGCTTCCGCATGGCTTACGCAGTGAATGAATGAATGGCTGGGCGCTGCCTCTTGATTTATACTTGTGTAACTCGTTGGTCTGCCCCTTTCCCAGGCCCTTGGTGCACACAGTCCCACACGGTACTTGCTTGACTGGACTCTGACTGGCTGGGACCGGTACTGCTGACTGCATGGGTTTGTACTGCCAACTTGATGCAGTCGCACTGCCGACGTAACACAGTTGGGCTCACCACTTGCCCACTTGCCTCTGGCTAAACGTGATGCAACTCCAAAAGGTCACTTCTGGACCTTCCGGAAGTCTGTGGACTTGGCCTCTCGAATATTGTAGCAGCTACGACCTTGACCTTTCAGAACTGTAGCAGCTACGACCTTGACCTTTCAGAACGTCTACAGCTACGACCTCTACAGAGCTGTGACTCCTACTTGACAGACCTACAGATCCAACCCCTACCACTACACAAACCTATGACAGACAACAAACAACTACCACAACACAGGTCACGGGTTCAAACACTCAGGGGTCGACTTGATACTGTACATGGGTAAGTGAGGTCTGGGAATCGAGCCCTGGGATCTGCATCTGCCTCTGCAAAGGTGAAAACCGTTTCAATGCACCTGTTTGGTTAACAAACGGGCAAGTGCATGCATTCACCATTGTTGTCGTAATTACGACGTTACTTCACGGATACTTCGAAATAGCGACCGAAGCAAGAACGATAGTCAGGCCATTCAATGCATTCGTAGGTATGAAAACGACAAAAACGCCACAAGATAGACAACAAAAGGTGAGAGATAGACATTCACCATAGTCAGGCCATTCACCATTGGCCTTCGCAATATAGAACACCAGAGCTTGAGTTGTGATTACCTACTTTATCCAAATTTGTCGCAACCACAGTGTTTCGAAGAGCAAAGTAAAACGCCGGAAGCAATCGTTCATCACGGACCCGTACGAGATCGAAGAGCCTGGGAGCTCCTTCAGGTGTTTGCACTCGTTGATTCATCTCCCCTTGGAGATGAAGTTGTTTCTCCTGCACACCAAGAGGACAGAAAAAAGGTTAGCTCAGAAGAGTCAGAAGGTAAACCTATGGACTGTTGAAATACAGACCCGAGTTCGAATCTTAGATACAACCAGACAAACGGAATAAAATAATTCTGGAATCTGAATTACCTAGGACCGGTCAGTTCAACGATTTCTCAAGGTCGGCCTGCTGTTGACTTGGTGAAACTCTGGCGAAACAGTCTATCACAGCTCCTTGTTCGTTGTCCTTTTCTCCTCCTCTGCCTATGGGTTCACCGGGCCGTTCTCTATGACAATATATACATGCATTAAAGAGAAAAAAGAGAAAAGAAAGGGAGTTAAAGCTGTTAAGCTCAGTTAACACGTATGAATAACCGTTTCATACAGGTTTTGCACTTACAAAGAGTGCTGGAGAGGGAGAGACAGCTGTCTCACACATTTTCATCTTGATAGAGCCATAATCTTGGCACAGATGTCAGATTCTCATTATGAGATGTAAATACTCGCAAGAATTTAAGAATCTGAAAAAATGAAAACAACGCAGAGCATTGTGCATGTCGCAGTCAGGTGTTTGTTGATGCAATCACACAGAGCCCAAACAACGACAAAGGTTTAGCATTTACAAAGAGAGTTGGCAAGGGAGAGAAAGCTGTCTCAGACATTTTCATCTTGATAGAGCCATGGTCTTCGCACAGATTCTGATCGAGCCATGGCCTTCACGAAGACACAAACAGACACACACAGACACACACAGACACACACAGACACACACAGACACACACAGACATACACACACACACACACACTTGGCGCTGAGCCACACAAATGTGGCCAACCTTGCATTTTCTATTATATTGTCTATCTAGAGAGAGAGAATTTGGGGTGTTTTAACAACACACACAGACACACATAGACACACACAGACACACACAGACACACATGCACACAAGTAGAGAACCATGGAGGTGGACAACTGCCAAGAGCAACACTGACAATCAAGGTGAAGAAGGACAAGGGCTGCAATGAAGAGAAGTGGAAGGCGAGGGGGGGTGGAAGAGCAGGATACGCAGAAGGGCACCCCGCCTCCATAAGTGATGCTGATTACAACAATTAGAAAGGAAAAGGATCAACATGAGCAGGACAAGGAGGATGAGAAGCACAAAGAGGAGGAAGAGGAGGAAGAGGAGGAAGAGGACGTGGAGGACGTAGAGGAGGTAGAGGAGGTAGAGGAGGTAGAGGAGGTAGAGGAGGTTGAGGAGGAAGAGGAGGAAGAGGAGGACCAGGAGGTAGAGGAGGAAGGGGAGTGAGGAAGATGAGAAGGGGAATAGGAGGACGGGGGAGGAAATAGAGGACGATAAGAGACATGATATTGCCAGGGAGGAAAAGGAGGAAGATAAGAAGCATGATAATTACCAAGATCAAAAATGTTGCCACACCGAGGTTTTGAGCTCTAAGCAGCTCCACACAAGCTTGAGCTGATGTGGCAGTCTCCACAACGATATAGTCAAGAGCGCCACACGCAGTGGATATAGCAATGTCATACTTGGCTGGGGAGCAGGTCGACACCACAACACAAACACAAGTCCTCAGCAGTCTTTTAGAATGTTCGACAATTAGTACATACTACAACTCAGTCACAGCTGTTCTTTTTGAAAGGACAACGGCCTTGAGATATCATCATCCAACTGACCGTGTTACATACTTCAATGAGTATGGGCAGAACCAAAGATCAACCAATATAGGATGAGCATTTATGCAGCGGAAGTCTGATAACGAACTGACTCACATAGACTGACTGTAACGAGCGTGAGGCTGAGGGTGAGCCGAGGGAGATGAGAGAGAGGGAGAGAGAGGGAGAGAGTGAGAGCACACACACACACTCACTCACTCGACACGACGGACTTGGACTGAGGGTCGGACGCAGACACAGTGGCAAGGCACAAAGTCGAAGTCTTGGATTCCGAATGCCCAAACGGCATGTCACACTGAGTACGAGTACAGCAGCAGAGAACTGGTCGAGACTCCCCCCCTGTACCGTACGGGGAGCCGGTCATAAGTACCGGTGACACGTACGGTACCAGGGGCATTTCTGCAAAGGCCCCGAGGGCAGAACTGAAAAATGCAGTATTTGAAAGTGGCGCCCGAATTGCAGCAT